AGTCAACCCACTTTTATAAATCGAAAGGGGACTGCGACCCTAACAGAGGCCACAACATCTTGGTCTTCATATCTTCATGATTTATTGTTTTTCGTACTAATAAGAGAATATTTAAATATAGTCTGATGAACACTTTTTCTCGCTATCATTGTATGTGACTCAAGAGGATAAAAAGCACAAAAACGTGGATAAAAATAGTATTATAATAAGTTTAACGAGGTAAAAATAGCAGCTCTCAATGAAAATGGGCCCCTATCAGTATGATTGCTTGCGTGAGACTTCAAACGCATTCTTACTTAAATTTGAATAAGTTAACTAGGAAAGACCATTTAGTCATGTACGGTTAAAGCTTTTTAATAAGTTGTAGTAAGAGTGGGTTAAGACTGGGCAATATAAAAAGTAATAATAATGTGTGCGCATGTCATTAAAAATTTTGCGCCCATTCCTATGCTAAAACAAATAAGACATTAAGAATCTGATTTTTATGGGGTTTAACATGTGCTTATCTACAATTGTACAAAAATGAGGTAAAAATCTATAACTTACTTGTGGAGTCGATGAAGCGCAGCAATACCATGTAACATGTCTGGAGTTTGCAAAGTCTGTGGAGCGAACGGCATGGATGAAATATAATCAATTCCTTGATGACTTGTTGGGTCGTAGTCACCCGCCTCCGACTGTACCACATATGCCCCCAGCATTACATAGGTCGCGAAGGAACAGGGGAGTCTACAAGAAGAACAAAAGGAAGGGCAATTAGAGGGTTGCAGAATATTTCAATTTATTCTGTATCGACTAGCCATGAGAATTAGCAATGAAAGAAATTTAGATTAAGAATTACTAATCGCTTCAAATACGCGTCTCTGACAACCATGGCTCGAGTAATAGATAATCGCTTTTGTACATACATTTCTTGAACAATTATCTTATGTTGAACGAGAGTTTAGACTTATTAGTGTCTGATTGGAATTATAGACAACTCATTTACATAACATGCTTAATGTCACTTTTATAAATTAATAGTATAAACATCATATTACATGAAATTGGCATGGTGATGATAGAGATAGATATAATGTTGACCTAAATGAGTCTGATGCCAGAAATAACGAAAATTTCAAATTAAGATGAGGAGAAATTCAAGGTTATTTATCTTTTAGTGAAAGAAAATCTAAAACAAGTTAAAAGAAATAAGCCATAATTTAAGCATTCAAATGCTATCTATTTGCGGAAATATATAAAAACGAATATAGAAATGAGAAATGAAAGCTCATGCACCTTAATTGGTAGTTCGCAGTTCGTACTTCGAAAGACATCAAATAAGGTAAATCAGGACAGTGAACGATAAAATGAGGAATCATTAAAGCATAATAAGGCATGCAGATTGACAAAAAGTTAACAACGGTATTCCTGTTATATAAATATAATATCCTCTGATGAAAGCTAATAAAAATAAGAATTACTTTCATCTCTTTATACACTACAAAAGTCATTCTATTACATACACACACAAAAAGTAATTATAGAAAAGATATATACTAAGAACAAGAGAGAAGGTAATCAAGATAAATAGGAAAGATATAACGAAATTAATCAATGACCGAGTCTTTTAAATATACTATGGACCAGGATTGCATGTGCTGAATGAATCCATAAGGGTTCGCGAAGCTTCGCCTGGAGAATTTTAAGGTGCTATTTAATTTAATGCTGAAAACTAAACCAAATACTTCAATCACGTTCGTTACACAAACGTTTTAAGTGATTTAGTTAACAACACACGGTATTTGAGATTCTCAAAATAGTTGTGCAAGGTGGCGACATGTAGATACTAACTGGTATTAAGGGAGGACATGCTTTTGGCCATTATGAAGGTCTTTATGAAAAGTCTAGGAATTCATCAGAATCCTACCATATTAGAGAAGAACAATAATTTGGATATATATGAAACGGTAGTCTCGAAAACCTACTTATAAACGAAAAATAATTGGGATAATTCATAGGCACGAAAACATTGAATAATGGGAAAGCTACTGAGGCATTACCCAACTAATGAAAATTAGTAAGGATCCTTGTGGCTCCTTTCCTAGTAGGCCAGTTCCAAACCAGATTTGCATATTAATCATGGCGCATAACAATGGGTCTTATTCAGCAGTCAGATGGTGTTCACAAAAACTTATTTGAATAGCAACATTTATCTACCAGAGATAAATATTTGACAACTTGAACCATTCTGGATATTCGCTAAAAAAATTCGGCCAAATTGAAAGCATCGTCTTGCTAAATCCAAGCCTGAGTAGTACTGCAAGGATTTATTCATCCTTTCGAGCGAGTTAAATATGGTTACTAATATGTGCTACTGGTTAGGTCGAGATAGTACTAGAGACTGCTCGATATAGGACAACGATCGGATACAACGTATATATATATATATATATATATGTTTAGTGTAGATGGTGTAGATGGTGTAGATGGTACAAAAAGCCCTGTAATAAAGTTCCTATTTCGCCTATTTGACTAATCAGAACCTCCGGGCAAGCTTTAAAGCCAGAATATGGTTTTGAGCCTATTCGCACTCCAAGAAAGAGAAAGCGATTTAAAAGAAAGTATAATTAACCCAAGGTTTGAAGACCAGGATGGTGTGGTCTTTTGTATGGTCGAGGTCTCCTTTCGTTGTATAAAAGTTGTTTGACTTTACTTTGGCAACTTGGTCACATTACCAGGAAGGCCTAGAGGAACGCAACTAGTCTGGAGTCCATAGTATGCATGATAATTTCCAGAATTGGACCGTAGACTTGGTACATTCCCAGACCTTTCGCTAGCATCGTAGTCGGCATCATCAGTGAGTCTTGTCAGTCTTACAACGAAAGCTACAACTCGTCAAAAAGAAAATTGAAATCAATCCCTTCACCACTCGTCGTTTTATCCTGATCCCTCTATACACTTCACACCCTCTAGTTCTCGCCCTTGTCCTATCGCAACTTCTGACCCGTTTATATTCCACAAGAGATGGGCCCTTTTGGTGAATTTACCGTGACGCCATCACACCCGCTGTTTGCCTTGCTCAACTCCCTTTCGAGTGGCAGATCTCGCTCTAATTTCCTGTCCGGATCTGCCTCATTCCAGCCCCAACGTACTTTTATTCCAGGTGATATTTCACAGTAGCACGTACAAAGTCGCCTTACCTTTAGAGCGCATTGGCTGATTCCCATGCCTGCGGTACTAGGCATTACCTTGACGCATCATCACCCTGAGAAAACTGTGGACATCTATCTCCGGTCGCCTGCTGGATTATTAGTCCATTTGGTCATAATGCCAGATTTTTGTGACCGAATTCCTTACCCTAATAACGTGAAACGTCAGGCCCCCAAGTTTTAGTTGTTTATTAGAGCTGACTCCACTTACTGAAAACGTCTTCGCTTCATTTCCGAAACCTCCTCACCCTCTTCATTTCTGCGATCCCTTTTCCTCTGGTTTACCATAAATCCCTGATCCAGTCGTCTCCCTCTTGCTTATCTTGTTGCATCCCTACTTACTCAGAGTTTGTTTAGTCAATATGCAAAGTTATCACTAACTCTACCTTCTTTCAATCTCCTGTAAATTAAATTTTTTCTCCCAAGGATGTCAATCACCTCCTTAATCTTCCGTTTCTGTGTTTTTACTGTATGAGGCCCTTTTTCTGTTGCCTTCCAAATGCTTTTGTGTCCAGTCACTTCGATGGGTTCCGCTATGTCTGATCTTTTAGTATCCATTTTCCTGCAGTGCCTTTGATGTTCCTTGATTGATATGGCGATTTTCCTCCCAGTTTTGCCAATTTATTTCTGTTCGCAGACGCCGCATGCTATGCAGTAAACTCCTGAACAATCCAATTTATCTACCCTCTCATGCTGCGTGGGTACATTTTCTTTTTATTGCTTCTTTCGGATATCCATTAACAAGGAATATCCGAGTGAATTTTTTACAATTTTTCATCCCAGAATTCCATGTCCGTTAATGGTAGGCTTCTGATGAGCATGCTCCTCAGTATGCCTATCTTCATTCTGTAGTTGTGATGAGACTCGAAATTGAGTATTATTTCGGCA